ATGAGGCAGGCTAGTGCTGGCGGGGTGGGAGCACGAAAAAGAGGAAAAGGGACAAGGCAGGCCCCGTGGTCATCCTGGCCACACACAGCCACACTGTTGGCCTCGGGGTTAGGAAGTGGTCAGAGGCTGAGAGGGCCACACGGTCTTGCTTCCTGACCTTCAAGACTGCCCGAAGCATCCCTCCCCCCAGCCCTTCACAGGCTTCCACACAGAGAAGCGCCCGGTCACCCTGCCAGAGAAAAGGACCGACGGCCATCGCCACCCTCTGCTCAGAGCTTGCTCTGTGAGCTGGGACCAGACACCCATTGCCTCCCTTGGTCCCTCCAAGATGGGGGTTAATCCCATCTGACAGATGAGGAGACCAAGGCTCAGAGGAGGAACGTGGCCTGCCTCTAGTCACACGGCTGGGGATGGCACAGCTGGGGTTGCAGCCCTAGTCTAACCCTGGGGCTGGCACCTTGCCACCTAAAGGATGTGGGGTCCCAGGCCCACAGGAGTTGCCCCACTCCAGTCTGGCCCTGCGCACTGGCCAGCTCCTCGTCTGGGGGCTTGGCAACCCCAGCAGAATCCAGCCTGGACACTGATGTGGGGCCCACCACTCAGATACACTGGGTCCTCTGCTTCTCCCCACAGCCCACCCAGCCCTGGCTTTGCTCCTCATCGTCCAGTTCCCTGAACTCCTGGTTTGTCCCTGAGACCCCGAGACCCTGAGGAGAGTGGAAGGAGCACCTGGCTTCCCCCTGAGATCTGTTCCTCTGTCCCACCAGTGTTCCTTGAGCACCTACTGTCCCAGGCTCTGTGCAAGCCCTGGGGATAGACATTAACAAGACGGGTGAGGGTTGGCCCCGTGGCTTAGCGGTTAAGTGCGCGCGCTCCGCTACTGGCGGCCCGGGTTCGGATCCCGGGCGCGCACCGACGCACCGCTTCTCTGGCCATGCTGAGGCCGCGTCCCACACACAGCAGCTAGAAGGATGTGCAACCGTGACGTACAACTATCTACTGGGGCTTTGGGGAGAAAAAAAACGAGGAGGATTGGCAATAGATGTTAGCTCAGAGCCGGTCTTCCTCAGCAACAAAAAAAACAGGAGGATTAGCACGGATGTTAGCTCAGGGCTGATCTTCCTCAAAAAAAAAAAAAAAAGACGGGTGAGCCCTGCCTCCTTAGGACTCAGATAGTAAAACACCAACAAGACCATTTCCAGAGGAAGAGGGGCCGTGCTGGATACTGAGGTGCCATCCGATCCTGTCATTGAGCCCTGGAGCACCCATTCCCTGGGGGGACTTGTCCTCGGCCGAAGGGAGGCCCTCACCCTGGTCATGCCCCTCCCCCTAGGAACAGCCCATGTCCAGTGTGGGTATAGCCCCACCCTAGTTTGGAAGGAACATCTCTGGAGGCCGTGCCAGCTCCAGGGATCCCTTGGGACTGGCTGAGGCCTCTGGTGGGACCACCTCACAGCGCCCCCTCTCCCTCCGCCCTGTCCTGGGTACCCCCCCCCCCCAGGAGCCCAGGCACTCCCCAGTCCCTGCACGTGGCTCTCCAAGTCTCAGCCCGCTTCCTGGAACAGGCCCGTGACCAGGGCCCTGAAGGGAACGCCTAGGTGGTGGGGGTGGAGGGTGGCCACTTGTGCCAACGGCCGGGGAAGGCCTCTCTGTAGGGGGGACCCATGAAGCCAAGACTCTGAGACCTCTGTGCACAGAGGGTGAGGTAGCAAAGCTCGGACTCTGGGGTCAGACCCCGGGTTCTAATCCCGTCTCCATTTCTGCCCTTTGTGTCACCTTGGGCAAACGCTCTACAGCCCTGAGCCTCAGTGTCCTCGTCGGTGACTTGAGAACAGAGCTTCCTTCTTCACAGGGTGCTTCTGAGGCTCCAGGACAGAGAAACATAGAAGGAGGGTGTAGTTTGATGAATAGTGGCCTCAAAGAAGAGACGTCCTGTCTTAGCCCCTGAGCCTGTGCACGTGACCTCATTAGGGAGAGAGGTCTTTGCAAAGTTGTTAAGGATCCTGAGATGAAGAAATGATCCTGGATCGTTTCCTCATCTCGAGGGCCTTAATAACTTACGCACACAGGCTCAGGGGCTAGGACATGACATGTCTTCTGTTACCCAGGTGGGCCGTAAATCCACTGACAAGTGTCTTCATCAGAGACAGAGGAGGGGAGACACGGACACGGTAAGGAGAAGGCCGGGGAAGAGGGAGTGATGCGGCCGCAAGCCCAGGACTGCCTGGAGCCCCCAGCAGCTGGGAGAGGCGAGGAACAGATTCTCCCCTAGAGCCGAGAGGAGTGTGGCCCTGCTGACACCTTGACTTAGACTTGCCTTGCAGAACCATGAGAAAATAGGTGTCTGGTTTAAGCCCCAAAGTCTGTGGTCACGGCTTCTGCAGCTGCAGGAAACGGTACAGGGAGCGTGACTAGAGGCGGTCCCTTCCGCTGTCTGCACTGCTCTTGGGGTCGAGATGTTTGCCTCCTGCAGCCTCTCTCGGAAGGCCTCTGGGGGTGGGGCACTCCCTGCAGAGGGGCAGGAGGGGCTGCCTGAGCTGGCCCCAGCTGCGCCCTCCACTGCTGTGGGACCTTGGCTGAGGCCCTTTCCCTCCCGGGCCTCTGCGTCCCCATCGGAACATCGGAATCTCCAAGGGCCCGGCTCTGGCACTCTGGGAGCCTCTCATTCAGCGCTCAGCCTGGCAGTGGGTTCGGTGTGGACTGGGTCTGACCATCACCGTGACTCTGTTCTGTGTGGGTCACGGGTCCACCAGCGCTGGGCTGAGCTTGGCCAGACACGGGAGCCCAGAGAGGGTCAGAGGTGGTGGAGCACCCCTACCGTGGGGGCGGAGGTGGGTGCGGGCCATGAAGGCGGATGAGCGCTAGGTAGGGGAGCCGTTTCTAGACTCTTGGGTCTGGTCCCCTGATGCCAATGCCCCCGAGGTGAGGCCTGCCCAGCTGGTGCTGAGGGCCAGGCCAGTAGGAGTCTGTCTCCACTTCTCACCCTCACTTCCTGCCTGAGAGGGATCATGGGGTCCTGACAATGAGGGGCCATGGGAGGGCTTAGAGCAGGGATGTGACCACAGTTAACGTCCTAACTGGAAATATCTCGCTGGTGCAGGGCTGGAAGCGGGAGGCAGGAGGAGGAGGTGGTGACATGTCAGGCTCGACTGATGAGGGCCAGGATTTGGGCTGCAGCTGTGAGGCGCATCCAGTGGGGCCAGGAGCGTGCTTTGGCCCTGAGGTCACATGAGTATTGGGCTGTGGCCAACTTGGCCCCATACACAGTTTCTATTCCTGGGTCTTGGGCTCTGTCGCCAAATATGGCGCTGCACACGTCTGGCACCCCATACTGTGGCAGGCCCGGGCTCAGGCGGCACGTCCCGCCTCCTCAAAGGGCCCAGACCCCACCCCACCCCATGGTGGAGCCAGATCACCCCATGGTGGAGCCAGATCACCCCCGCGCTACCCTCTCTCGCCGACCGCAGCCAGGGCCTCCCTCCATCCAGCTGTCTGTCTGTGCCCTTCTCAGTGTGGTTCACATTACATTAAAAATACTCAGGACCAAAATAGCCTCTCTCCCTGGAGGGGAAAACCGGGGCCAGGGGCACACACAGTTCTCCGTTTACATCGTGGCTCTGCCGCTCACGACCCCAGCAGGATCCCAAGCAGCTCACCCAATCTCTGACCCCGATCCCCACTCACTAGCTCACTTGGTCACTCGTTGATTTGCTCATTCACTGACTTGCTCACTCATTCATTCATTCATTCACTCCCTGATCATTCATT